ATAACAAAAATCATAAAATACCAACTAGGGACTACTTTTATCAGTAGTTACTTTTGCTGTCTAATGAAGTAGTCCCTCTCCCCTCTGTAGGTCAGTCTATTGCCGAACTGCCTAGTTTTTGAAGAACCAGGATCCAAATGCTCTACAAGGGGTTTCCCTCAGTGAATGGATATGGAATGCTTCTCCCTTCTCTGTGCTGTACTGAAAACAGCCTTTTGTTTCTATTCACAGTCAGGGCAAACCCCTGTCTTGTTGTAAAGTTTCTTTTTGTACCTTTAAGTGGTTTTGCTTGTTTGTCCATGCCTTGGATGTTTTCCCATTCCAAGTCTTAGTATTGTGCAGGGGGTAAACAACTGAGCCTTGCATTACATCATTGTGCAAACATGGCAGGATGACAACTCTCCCTTGCTGAAACGGATCATCACTGAGACACATTATCTCCTGGTGACTAATTTCTATTCCAAGTCCATAAAGCATACTTTCAATATAAATATGTTATTCTTTAAATATTACCTGTACATATATCACTTGCAATGAATATGAATCTTGACATGTTGCAAGCTTTCACTAGGTTCCTTACCCATGGATAAATATCCTGAAAATATGTTTTGTGTAGTGAGTTTGTCAAGTCTGAGGTGAGAGATGTTTGCAAAAAGCACTCCGTGTCACAGAGAAGTTTGTTACATATGCCACATGGGCCTGTATCAGTGGTTCTCAACCTATTTACCATTGTGGGCCACATATGCATCTCTCTATGTGTTATGTGGGCCGCATCCACACACACACACTATATATATTACCTGTATGGCCCCAGGATGTCACATGTGCCGCAGCTGTGTGCTGATTGGGCCTCAAGTGGCCCGTGGGCCGTGGGTTGAGAACCGCTGGCCTATATATAAAATATATGCAGTGTCAGAAGAAATTGGCATAATGGCTCTGGGTATTACTGTAGATATATAGTAGGATCTTGGACATTTAGCAAATAGTATTAACATCAATATTTTAACGTAATATTGGAACAGCCTTTCTCATGGTAGCTCCACTTCTTTTCCATGGGCAGCAAAGACCTGCAAAGGTAAACAAAAATATAAAAATAGATAAATAATAAAAATAGTTTTCTGGATCTTTTAAAGTTAAAAAAAAGGTTGAATGTTTGGGTCCATTTCTCCTTATAGCCAATCAATTTATCTGTCTCTAATTTTTGTTTTGTATTCTGTGGATTAGCTTCATGATATCCTGCACAAAACAAAGAAATATACTAGGAGCTTGAGAAAGATGAAGGCATGTGCAGGTCCATAATAAGGGACAACAGCAAGAAGGTGGACATCTTTAATGCCTATTTTGCTTCAGTCTTCACTAAAAAGGTTAATTGTGACTAGTTGCTTAACACAATTAATATTAACAGCAAGGGGGAAGAAACACAAGCCAGAATAGGGAAAGAACAGGTTAAAGAATAAGTTAGATATATTCAAGTTGGCGGGGCCTGATGAAATTCATACTAGGGTGCTTAAGTAACTAGCTGAAGCAATCTCAGAATCATTAGCAATTATCTTTGAGGACTCACAGAGGACTGGTGAGGTCCCAGAGGACTGGAGAAGGGCAAACATAGTACTTATCTTTACAAAGGGGAACAAAAAGGACCTGAGGAATAATAAACTAGTCAGCCTAACTTAGATAATGGGAAAGATAATGAAATAATTTATTAAATAATCAATTTGTAAGCATCTAGAGGATAATAGGGTGATAAATAATAGCCATCATGGATTTGTCAAACCAATTTAATTTCCTTCTTTGACAGTATTACTGAATTAGTGGCTGGTGGGGTAGAGGTGGGGAGAGGGAGAAGTAGAACTGATATACCCTGCTTTTAATTAAGCTTTTCACATAGTCCCACATGACATTCTCATAAGCAAACTAGGGAAATGTGGTCTAAATGAAATTACTATAAAGTATGTACATAACTGGTTGCAAAACCATACCCAAAGAGTAGTTATCAATGGTTCACTGTCAAACTGGGGGTGTTATCTAGTGGGGTCTCATGGAGGTCTGTCCTGGGTTGGTACTATTCAATATTTTCATTAGAGAATTGGATAATCAAGTGGAGAGTATATAAAATTTGTGGATGACACCAACCTGTGAGACATTGTGAGCACTTTGGAAGACAGGATTAAAATTCAAAACAACCTTAGTAAATTGGAGAATTGGTCTGAAATCAACTAGATGAAATTCAGTAAAGACAAGTTCAAAGTAATACACTGAAGAAGGAAAATTCAAAAGCGCAACTACAAAATGCAGAATAACTGGCTAGGCAGTAGTACTACTGAAAAGGATCTGGGGTCGGGGGTTATAGTGGATCACAAATTCAATATGAGCCAACAATGTGATGCAGTTGTGAAAAAGGCAAATTTCATTCTGAGGTGTATTTATAGGAATGTCATATGTAAGCCATGAGAGGTAATTGTTCTACTTTACTGGTGAGGCCTCAAGCTGGAGTATTGTGTCCAGGGGCCACATTTTAAGAAAGATGTGGACAAATTGGAGAATCCAGAGGAGAGCAACATAAATGATAAAAAGTTTAGAAAACATAACCTATGAGGAAAGGTTAAAAAAAAATAGGCATGTTTAATCTTCAGAAAAGAAGACTGAATGGGGACCTAATCACAGTCTCAAAATATGTTAAGGGCTGATATAAAGAGGACAGTGTTCAGTTATTCTCCATGTCCACTGGAGGTCAAACAAAAAGTAATGGGCTTCTTGTAAGTAATCGGTAAGCAGCATCGCAAATTTGGGTCAAATGTTAGGAAAAAGCTTTTTAATTATAAGGTAGTTAAGCTCCAGAATTGGCTTCCAAGGGAGGTTGTGGAATCCCCGTCAATGGAGGTTTAAAGAACATATTAGACAAACATTCCCATATCCCATCTACTGTATGTTAAGTAATTAACTCTCAAAACTTCCCAGTGGGATAAGGGAGTATTGAGGTAGAGAAGTTAAATGATGTGCCCAATCTACAGAATGAATCAGTGGCCGAATAGAGATTAGAACTTGGGTTCAGAGTCTAATTAGCAAAACACTCAACCATAGTGTTTCTCACTATATTTGAATGCATGAGAAATACAATGTGTCTCCTTGCATTCTCTGCAGTATTTCTGCTTTTTGATACATTAATTTTAATGCTTTGTTTCTAATTTTATAACTTCGGTTTGAACTTAGTGCCTTAAATAGCATTAGCATGGGTCCTGCCGTGCCCGTATACCACTATCATTACCCTTTAAATTCTGCAGTATCGCTCTGCCTGGTTATCACTGACATTCACAGATGCAGAATTCATTCAGGAGGCTAGTTATACTATGGAAGACTGGGGTTATGCAGAAGCCCGGAGAGGTGTAAACATATATCTAAGGAAGCCCAGTAAGGCTTCACAAATGCATTCCTAAAGCAAAACCTTATAAATAAAAATGAGTAGCTAAATTGTAGTCACGCACCAGGGAAGCGCTCTTGCATAATAGCTAAAGGGCACTGTGAAATACATGCAGAATGCTTATGGATATGCTCACAAAACTTGAAATAATGGCAAGGTTAGACTAGCACCCTCTCCCATTACTTCCGTAGAAATGATTAAAAAGCCGCTCCTTTTCTTTTAACTGTTGCTGCACTCTATTTATTTATTTTAAGGGAAATTACATTGAATTTCCCAGGTAGATAATTATTAAGAAAAAAAATTCTGTGAAGATAGCATCTTCTTTGCTTGTGTAAAGAAAAGTACAGAGAATCTAATTTTCAGGGTAATCTTTTCTGCCCCTTGTGGTGTGTTTGCTGGAAAGGAGAGAGAAAGAGAGAGAGAGAGAGAGAGAGAGATTTTAAGTAGTCTCTGCTAGCAGAGAGACTTATCTTTCTTTTCCTCCTTGATACGCACATATCTCCAAAAAGAAACACAACTAAACTGGTTTAATTTTATTTGTCTGACTGTATCCAAATGCTATGTCCAGAGTCTAAATTATGTGGGCAGTGGGAGAGAAGAAGAGGGGCCACTAGAGGACATTGGAAGCAGGACGTGGCCATGAGTCTATGAAGGTCTTCTCATCAGAGTCCCTTAGAAAAGTGGTATCCAGCTCTCTGCATAGGAGAAATAAGAATTCTACTCTATTCTATTCATGTTCTTATACTATCCGCATCACCATTGTATGTGAGCACCTTCCAGTAGTGTATTAAGAAACATGACCAATATCTGTAATGTGTGGTTTATTCTCCCTTGCACAAGAATTGGGTATGCAGTGTAGTGATTTGCTTTGATAGGTTTTTTGTTTTTTCTGAAGAATATTGGGACAAGAAACAGCCTTCGGTCACTATAACAAAAGGAAATATTTGATTGACTATTCTCCCCCACCCTTCCCCCCAGCCCTGCCCTGATCACTGTCTGCGCAGCTCCCATTGTCTGGAGACCATGGCCAATGGGAGCTGCGGGGGCGGCACCTGCAGGTGAAGACAGCATGCAGAGCCGCCTGGCTGCGCCTCCACCTAGGAGCAGCAGGGACATGTCACAGCTTGCGGGGAGCCACCCAAGGTGAGTGCTGCCCAGATCTGGCACCCCGAAACCCTAACCATGTGCCATCCCTCTGCCCCGAGCCCTCTCCTGCACCCAAACTCCCTCCCTCTTAATTAACCAGAATATTTGACTTACTGGCACCCCCCACTTCCACAACATGCCAGATAAGAAAGCTTTTACTGTAGTAGCTTGTGTTCGAGAGTTGTCTGTTGGCTTTGTTGTTGTAGTCATCATGATTAACTACTATGATGGCATCCCCTTTGTCTGCTATTTTGATCACTCTCTGATGACTGGATTTTTTTAGTACTGAATAGTTGTCCTCTCGGGGGTGGAGAGATTGTTATGGATGTAACATTTGTTGAGGCTTTCACAGTTGATTATTTTCCTGAAGCAATTGATGTACTGATCCAGTGTGGGGTTTTGTCTGCTGGGGGCATCCAGTCAGCTGATTCTATTTTTTTTATGATTGTTGATGGGGATGTGGTGGTTGTGGGTTGTGAAAAAATTCCTTGAGGCAAAGTCAGTGGAAGAGTTTTTCTGTTTCTGTCCTTTCTATTTAGAGAGTAAATTATTCAGAGCAGGGATAATGCTTCATTTATGTTTACACAACTCATGGCACAATGGGACCACAATTCTGATTTGAGCACTAATGTAATACAAAGACTAATAAGATTCAAAACTTTGTGTTCCCTCTGGAACTTCTGTGATATTTCACACTGCAACATGTTACATTAGCAAATTAAAATTTTAGGGACCAAACCTTCTTACACCTGGGTGTTGAGGGTCCTTAACATTTTGCAGTTCTTAATTTTCTGACAGGGAAGAAGAGAGAACTAAAGTGGGCAACCACAATACTGCTTACATTTGATAGCTGTGTACCTCAGTTTGCTTGTCTGTGGGAGCTGCTTATATCTGGCTCAGGGCCTTGTAAATCCAGCCAGGGAAGAACTCCCACAGCAGAGTGGGATTCTTGGGTGGTACAGAGTCACTGTAGTGGGTTATAGAATCATAGAATATCAGGGTTGGAAGGGACCTCAGGAGGTCATCTAGTCCAACCCCCTGCTCAAAGCAGGACCAATTCCCAACTAAATCATCCCAGCCAAGGCTTTGTCAAGCCTGACCTTAAAAACCACTAAGGAAGGAGATTCCACCACCTCCCTAGGTAACCCATTCCAGTGCTTCACCACGCTCCTAGTGAAAAAGGTTTTCCTAATATCCAACCTACACCTCCCCCACTTCAACTTGAGACCATTACTCCTTGTTCTGTCATCTGCTACCACTGAGAACAGTCTAGATCCATTCTCTTTGGAACCCTCTTTCAGGTAGTTGAAAGCAGCTATCAAATCCTCCCTCATTCTTCTCTTCTGCAGACTAAACAATCCCAGTTCCCTCAGCCTCTCCTCATAAGTCATGTGCTCCAGCTCCCTAATCATTTTTGTTGGCCTCCACTGGACTCTTTCCAATTTTTCCACATCCTTCTTGTAGTGTGGGGCCCAAAACTGGACACAGTACTCCAGATGAGGCCTCACCAATGTCAAATAGAAGGGAATGATCACGTCCCTCAATCTGCTAGCAATGCCCCTACTTATACAGCCCAAAATGCCATTAGCTGCTTTACAACACCTCACCTCCTAGTTTCTGGCATTAGGGGTCTGGCCAGGACTCCCTTATACCTATCTGATTCCTGGCTGCAGGAATAGACCCAGGGACTATTGGCAGCTGATATACATTACAGAATCCCAGTTGCTCTAGTTTCCATCAGAGACTAGCTCAGAATCCAGACAGCTCAAGATGGTAGAAAGCAACACAACGTTTTTTTTCCAAATACATCTTGGGCATACCAGAGAATTGGGGCCTGTATTAGTGAGGGATGGCGAGACAGATACAGATCAGTCTACCATGAAGAGAAAAGATCCCATTAGTTGATTTTGAGAATGTTGGGGGGTAGGGGAAGAAGTATTTTGGTGGAGTGGAGGAAAGGGGTGTATAAAATATGTTAAATTCAACACCTTCTGGTCTTTATGAAACAGAGTTTAAAAGACACTAAATATTACATCCTGAGAAAAGGAGAGATGTTCTGGGTTTGTTAAAAAAATATTGAGGTCTTTAGCAAGCATTCAGCCAGTTTGTAAATGAACTTGATTTAATTACCATTTTAAAACTTGTACGTGGGCTTGAAATTGTTTAGTGTATATTAAAGAAATCTAAATTAAATAAGCTGGACAATAGCTTGAGAATGATTGAAACCACATGCTTTGGTGTCCTCCTTCCCAAAGTATTCATATGCAAAAGGGTACACTGAACATCTGTATGTTATAAGAAATTTATATCGAAATAACCTGCTGAGAAGAATTGTGGCACTTTTATATCTTTTATATCTTTAGTCATTTTAAATAGTTGTACATGGTTTGATTTGTAACAATGAATTACTGTAGCTCTGTAGGCTAAGAAAAGCACTAGATATATCAAGCAATTGCTTTTTATGTTCAAACATTTGTAATATCTGGTTTGATGGAAGGAGTCTGGAAAAAGAGGTATTTTATGGGCATCCTTATATTTAGAGAAAAAAGATAATTTAAAAACGCATTCAATAGGGACGTAGGGAAGCGAACAGCTTGCATCAATGCCACTGTTCATTTCACAGAAACCAAGCAGATTCTGTAAATTGATATGTTTTGATTCTGTTTTGCCTCTTTCACAGTTACAAACCACCAAATAAATCAAAGATTATCTTACAGAAATGATGTAATATTTTATTCCATATTATCAGAAGATAACACAATTGTGTTCCTGTAGATCATAGCAAGTGATTCTTGATTGTTATAAGCATCT